TTGACGTTATAATCTACGATGCATTTTTTAATTTAAAAACATATTTCCAATAATTCTAATCATCATAAAAAACTAATCAATCTGATCCAATCAATGCAACGGTCACTACAACTACTGCTTAACATTTCTTATGTTTATAAACAACATTATTAATTAATTATTTAAATAAAATGGCCCGACCAATTAATACTCAATCAATAAATAGAAATGCCTCAATTTATTAACTTATTGGATTTTCACCTGCTGGTTAAAGCTGAAAGGTTAATTAATGAAATTGACAGTTTGAAATGGAAATATAAAAATGTTGTGTAAACGATACTTAATTCTCTCAATAACCAAACGATTTATCGATATTTTTATTAAAAGCTTGCCTCGATTAGGCGCCATGTTCTTTTTTCAATTCGCAAAGAACGTTCGATATAAGGCTACGTACACACTGACCGCATTCCGTCTTGCAGTGTCAGCGTGCCATTATGCGGGACGAAGTCGCGAGACCTCGCTATCAGTGACGTGACACCGGGCCAGTGTTGTGAACGACTATCTGACCCACTTGCTAACTGTATTGTTCTTTTGTCAGTCAAATGACTGTTCAGGAGGATGTGCTTTGTAATGTGACGTCGGGTATGACCTGACAGGTCATGTCTTGCCCTTTCTGAATAGGTAAGGGTTTGAGGGAAATGTAGAGAATAGAGAATATCTTAATGAAATTGCTCACATTGTCTGCTGTTTCGACGGTGATAATATTTAAGTAGTAGAAAACATTAAACTAAAGCGTGTTATTTTAATGCAACCGTACTACTAAGTACGTCAATAAATTTGAGACAGCTTAAACAAAAATGTTTTTCTTGCCATTTGTTTGAAACATAAAATGTGTATAATTTAAAATAAAATGTTAAAATCTCATATTACCTCAACCTCGTTAGTCGTTGCGCAATAAACGTTACAGACTAGATCTTGAAATTCTCCAAAAATTATCAAGTCCCGTTACAATATGACTCTATTAAAAAGACAGTTCCACGATAACTGCAACGCATTCTCTGCATACACATCTTGAAATTATGTAGGTATGTCATTCAAGATGCCGTACGAAATCATTATGTTTAAAGAATTCACATAAAAAAGCCGAAAAAATATTTTACTACGTTTCTTTGTAATTTCTTCATCAATTTTTAACTGATTGTGTGGAACCGGGTGCGGTAGCTAGTATTTTTGTGACGTCGTAAAGTGTGTTTGGTACGTCTGTGCGTCGGTAGCGCCACCCGCCGCGTAGTTTATGCCGCGCGATCGTGCGATATCGCGCCAATGTTATGTGCACGCACCTTTATAGTATTATGTTACCTACGTTCCAAAGTTATACGCGATTTGCTTTAACATATTCGCTATCCGTATTAGGTAAATCTAATTTGCAGATTTAATTTACAGTTGGACTGTGTATTCTCGTTTATGACGGCGCCGTGTAAAATATTACACAACTTTCCACCAAAATGGTAAACGATGGCTGACCATGGACAATAAATGCCTTATTAGTATTATTTATGGAATGCTTACATATCAATTTTCCATAAACATTTTCAGATGCAAAGATTAAACGGTTTTTGTCTGTTTAATACCAATCAGATTTGATTTGATGACTTTTTTATTGTGATTCGAGCGATTATTGACTGTATTGGAATAATCTTCGTACCTTTTGATTGGATAAACTTTAACGAAGTTTAACTCCGGCGAGAGTAAGAAAAAAACGAATATGTAGGTTTAAATGTTCGAAATTGTTAGTACATACAAATCGTTACGCTTTGTCGAAATGTACAATTAAAACGGCAATTTGAAAAGCACGCGGCAATATTACGAGATTGTCCGACAACACCCCCACAGGGAACCGTTGTACAAAATACCATTGTAATAACAACAAAAACCTATTTACAAATACTCCGCTAACGCCCACTCAAAAGGTGTTTATTTAAAATTTTATAACACAATGCTAAAATGTCACATTTTTTCACTTTTCGCGCCATTTGATGCCTGTTGTCATTACCAACAATTTATTGCGTTTCCCTCAACCTTTGCCAAATAAATAACATCCTTCCTGCTTCGATTTAAGAACGTTGGAACATGAATTTTGATTTTCCCAAAGGAAAATTCAAAGTTGTTCGATAATGCTGGCCGTCTCTCAATTTTTTTCTTTTGGACACGTGTCTATGGTACCTATGGACGTCCAATTTGTGTCTATTGATCTATTGTTGGGCATCTTTTGAATTTAATACCTTTCAATGTTAATATCTGTCATAAAAGTTAGATATATTTTTTTTTTTTATCTTTCTTTGAATCATTTTGCCGATGTCTGTGTGCGAAATGTCTGTTGTAAGAATTTAATATGACTTTGCAATAATTATAATATCTTTTGCGACAAGTTGGCTACTGGTAATGGCACGTTAAACTGATCAATAAACACCTATGTATTTATAATTTCTTCATTAATTACCAACAAAACTAAAGACCCAAAAATCCGAAACACATTTACAATACATTATAAACTTAAGTAAACACCCAGCATCAGATAGAGGGGTGCTATTCTCAAGATCGGAATCTCAGCGACAAACACCGGGGCCTATTGTGGTAGCTAAATTCGCTTCGCTATTTCCGATCTACTTACAAGATTATGTTATTATTGTCAAACCGTTCGAGATTTTATCGCTTCGAGCGTGCCCTACAATGTTGGATCCGATGTCTTCAGAGAAATAGGTTACCTTTAGAATTACACAATATGGTTCAAATGGCATGTTCTATATATTACTAACTAGCTGTGCCCGGCGACTTCGTCCGCGTGGAATATTGACGTAGATTTTTGTGATCATCCCAGACATACATACAGACAAACAGACAAAAATTGTAAAAACATTATTTTTGGCTTCGGTATCAATTGTAGATCACGCCTCAAGCATTCTTTTAAAAAGTTTTCACTTTCCTACGATTTTATTATATGTATATAGAATAGATAAGATATGGACCAATGAAGATTATTGATAAGTAATACCTACCTTGTTTATATTATTTTAATAATGTTTTATTTATGTTCTTGTAAAAGAAAGATGTAAGTAATTCACTGAGATTAACTACAAAATATAGTATGAAATTATGTCTCCGTTTTGAACAATATTTGGTTTGCGCTTATGATCAGTTATAATAACTCAATCCATTTTAAAATGACCTAGGTATATATTTATATTTCATTATCTTTTCAATACCTTAATTTGAATTTAAATAAATCAGCTTATAAACTTTACTAACACAAAATTTAATTCAAAATCGCATCAAAAACCAAATCTGACTAGCTTAGGATTTTATAACAAAGCCTTATTGTATCCTTTTGTGTTGTTCACCTATGCTGTGCATCGGCATTCATCTATTGTCGGACATACAAGACACAAGCACACCAAACTATCCTTAACTACCAAATAGATTGTCAACCTTACCATAACATGTTAAGGTTGAAAATACAAACACACATATTGGTATACTTTGATGTGCAAGCGTTTGTACTTCGGCTATCTATGGACCATAAACAAACATCTGCTTTTCCCGCCTACAGTTTGGTATTACGCCTCCTTACTGCAAATATTTCAAAAGAAGAATTCGTTCTTAAAAAAACTATTTGCTTTTAATTTTTTTAATCTGTGGTCTTCTTATGTTGTTAGATTTGTAACATCAATTTCTGGTTTAATATTGTTAAAATTTTTATAGATTTTTTTAATAAATTATCGGATTATAGTTTCAGATTTTAATAACAGAAAAGATGTTAAGCCGAAACTTCGAAGTCGTTGTACTTATGTATCTAGTTTCAGTTTTAAAAAAAACAGTTAATTTTCATAGACACACTAGAGCTTTTTGTGCAATTACTTAGTACCCAGTAAGGCTAGAAAACTTAACGAACGAAAGAAAACGAAGTTCACAATTATCACTAATATTCACATAAAAATAAATACAGTTACACTAACAAACATCAAATATTTAAAATTCCAAACACACAATTCCTCGTACTTAAATTAAAAAAATATCTTTTTACGTTAATGAGCGTTCAGTTCAATTGGCAATGGTCAGTACACTATTAATTACACGGCCAATTACAATCACTATAAACTTCCAAACGATAAAAAATGTTCCAATCACATGGAAAAATATACAACACACAAATTACATACAATCAATAAAACTATGAAAGTTTTTTAAAAACGATTCGTATAAAAACCGTGTCACTAAAACACCCGCATAACCCGTAAATCGACTAATGAGTGACGATTATTTTTATTTTCATAAACGATACACTCGCTCGATGCGGGCCATCGATTTAATTCTCGATTATCACCCTTTAGTCGATTATTTAATGAGAGTCAATGAGATTCGTCACACTGAAATCTGGAGGGCAAGCGGTTACTCGAATAACGATTTATTTATATTCTATCTCGTTATATTGAGGTTGATTAAATTGTTGATTCTTGATAGCAGAAGATTTACTTCAATTTGCTCTTCCATCATTTTTTAACAGAATCTTAAGCTCTCATCATCTCATCATCTCAGCTTAGCTGAGTGGTCGCAAGTGCGACTGCCGGGCAAGGGGTCTCGGGTTCGATCCCCTGGACAGGCAAAGTATTACTAGGTTTTAAAAAAATTATCAGTAGGAGCAGTAGGAGTCTGGAATTGTGCTCGGTATATGGCAATAGGCTCACCCCCTATTACATGGGAATCATAACATAAATAGTGAAAAGTGGGTGTTACATTGTACAGTGGCATAATGTGCACCTCTGCCTATCCCTTCGGGGATAAAAGGTTATGTTATATTATGTTGTTAAGCTCTCATATTATGTCAATAAAATCATGAAGAAATTGATCATAGAACTCATTTGTAACAAATATTTAAATGAAAAGAAATATATATCACTTGTTGAAAAATAAATACGTTTTCTTGAACTTATGTAAGAACGTATTATGATAAGTGTGGGAGAGCCATGCGACAGCACGATTGGGCCGGCTCGACGGCTTCACAGAAAACCGGCGTGAAGCAACGCTTGCGTTGTGTTTCGTCGTGTGAGTGAGGTTACCGGAGGCCCCTACCTCCCCCCTTCCCCAATCCCCGAATCCCCAAACAACAACAAACTCCTAATCCCCAAACTCCTAATCCCCAAAAGGCCGGTAACGCACTTGTAACGCCTCTGGTCTTTCAGGTGTCCATGGGCGACGCCGATTGCTTACCATCAGGTGACCCGTCTGCTCGTTTATGCCATAAAAAAAAACTTAACTGTACTATCAGTATCGCAGCTGTTAATAAACGAACATCTAAAAACAAACAAAGTCCAAAACACACTGGTTTAATTATGATTGATACATTAAATTACTTGACTCCAGCTCGCTAACCACCAATTGTTATGACCTCTATTGTATGTGCTAAATTACTGTAAAAAGCAATCCTTAATTGGACATCTTCTAAATTAATCAGTTGATTTAAAGAAAGAAGAAACTGTGTATTTATTTCATCATGTAATTGTTTCTTAAACATTGTCGTTATCAAATATTACTAAACTTTAAATTGAACTTAACTAAAAGATTACAGTAATACTATAAAATGTGAAAGTTTCTTGTTTCGATGTTTATCCGTCAATCACATTGAAACTACTAAACGGATTTTGATGAAATTTGGTATACATTCATGGTATGAGCTGACTTAGGTGATATGATTTTTTTTTAAGGAGCTATAATCATCGAATGACTTTTCCCGCCTGGGTGAGGCGGAAGGGAGTGTCAAACTCTTACTGACTAAAAACCATCCCGTTCCTTCTCCTGCGTTTCGACCCTGAGCGCCGGCTACACGTTAGGTTCTCCGCAACTAGGTGATAGGATAATAAGTTATTAAAGAATTCCCCTCTCAAAAAACTAACAAAGCAGCCTCAAACTCAGCATTGATATAATTCAAGCCCTCGACACATCGGCGCCATCGACGCTGATAAGTATATAAGAATTCATTGCTCATGATAGAGCATTGATTCCCTGGGTCATATCTGTTGACACTACCATCAATACTGTTTAACAGTGGTATCGAATCACGCTCATGAAGGGTTTTTATTAGTGTGCGCTGGTCGTCTATGTTGAGTTCGTTTTGAACGATTTTGTCGATTATAACGATTGTGGTTTTAGATTTTGATTTTGAGCGGTTTTGTTAATAAGTTCTATGATTACGTATGCAATCGTGACATACATTTCGTAGGTCTATTAGTGTTTTGGGAAATGTATTCAAAAGACTACTGGATAGCAAAATATATTCTTTAACTAGAACGTAAAATCACCCAGATATACCCCCTCTTAAAGATTTGCCATAGTTAGGAGCATTTAAAAAAAAACCTAAAACATTTCTTAACATCGTCATCCATACAAGGGTTAGGTTATTCGCAAACAATAACAGTATCCTTAACCAGACCATCATGGAACCCAATCAACAAATTACGCAACTAACAGATGACGTCATTCATTCAAAACCTACTTTAAAATTTAACACGACACTCCTTCATCCATTCAATTAGGTTCACTCGTTCATTCCGTCCAATATTTACTGCATCTACGGCGGGGTCGTTTCAATTAAAATATATTACATTGTTACGATGTCCGGCGGGCGCAGGGTTAATTGCTATTGCACCGTCTTTGCCTGATCTTTGGTCTTTTGGATCATTGTCGTACACCTTTCGATTTGGTAGTGCAGGGTTGAGATTATCGACCCTTTGATTCTTTCTAGGAATAATTTGTGAGATTCGTCAATTTTCTAATTGTTTTACTATGAACATTATTTTTCTTTTAAATTGATTTTATAATATTTTACTAACTTGACTTGACTTCAAGCACGTACTATTAGTTGTTATTTAAAAGAAGACCTTCAACATCATCAACGCAATAAATAACACTTCTCTTTACCCCTAGAACAATACACAAAACTAATCCCAATATTCTGATTACACCTAGATCAATAATTTCTTTTCCTACCTATCTTTGAACTGCTACACAATCTGAATGAGCTTCCTAAGCTTGACAATCATCTAGTCGTCAACAGATAGCTCTATTAGACCTATTAAGGTCCAGTTAAATGGACACACCACCTGCTTCATCTTGCCTAATCTTGACCTCCTTTGTGCGTCTTCTAATCTTCGTTGATAACTGTCTTGGTTAGATGAGATGGTACTGTTTCGTCTATTATATCTTTTGCATTTTTGATTCTTCAGCTGGCTTTTTTCTCTCGTCGATATTAATTAGTTGTTCGTCTATGTTATTGCTATTGGTGCAATATTAGCAGATCACAAATTGTACATTTTTGTTAAGGTCTTATATCTAAGTCTTGTTATATCTTGAATTAAATCATTTGCTTTTCTACAAAAGGTTCAATCCATTTTTGTATGTGTTTCCACTGTCAGTAGTAAGTTGTGACCATTACAATGCTCTAGTACATAAACAATACCACCTCACTCCCTCCTTATGTGCGGAAATGCAAATTACAAAACTTATTGTTCAGCTTACAAACAAACGCCTCACAACATCCTTTAATACACACAAAATAACCCACATTCAAATTTCAACTTTAACATCAAAGCTCAGACCTTAAAATCCATTCCACTGATTTTTCAGTTCTTTTCTTATTGCTACATCAACTGATTTCAAACTCAGAGGCTTTAAGTATAAGGTGGAGATTCAATTGTCGGTTGGTAGTGTATCAATTACGAAGCAGCTGTCACCATTTAGTGGCATCGCTGGAACAATTAGGACAAGTGACCACAATTATGATGGCGGGATTGCGTCATAGCGTCCCAAGACGTTTACAGCGTAGACACACGAATTAGAATTAATAGTTGCCGTTTATTGAATGAAAATGTAGGTTGTTAGTTCGGGCCCCTTATGACGTCATTGTACTTGATAACTTGATAGTGTTGGGTGTTACTGACGATAGATAGGTAGCTCTTGTATCACATAATGAAACTGTAGTCATAGAAATACATAGATTCATAATCTTAGACAGAGATGACTAGAATATTTTCAAGTTTTGCCAAAAGACTGAAGGACGGATAATCGCTAATTATAATGTTCGCATTCCTGTTCATTGGAAAGCTAGTTTCAATAGAATATATAAGTAGTTGGAACCTCCACTTTTCCTCTTCATCTTAGTCTTGCGTTTACCCCTCATGTTAGAGATAAGATAACTCTAATTCTCGCCATCACCATTCACAGATCAAACAACTACATTTTTCTGACAGTCACTTTATAATTACGAAAGTCCATAAAGTCGACCAAACCTCCATTTTGAATTGGGCAACCCTAACAAAAACAACAGAAATATTTCCTTAACCCTCAAAAAGTACTCGGAAAAATTTCACATAGCAACAAAACCACAATTGAAGCTACATAAAATGCAATAGAACAAGTTGTATGTTCAACTAACATTAAAACTGACGTGTAACCATGATGTGTAATTATAAATTAACCTAGTTGTCCGATGAGAATGCTCCAAGTGGGTAAGACAATTAACTGATTGTTAATTCAGGTTTGTACTGGACTAACAATCTACATGTAAATTAAATGATACTTTAAATTGTTGTGGAGTCACTTTAAACTATAGTTTTATACTTTTGTCGCAGTGTGTTTTGAATAAAACTTAGAAACTTCTGACTCCATATAAGCCTATAATGAACTGCTTTAAGGGTGCTATTTACGTATGTATCACTATCAATATTTCAAAATAAGATCAACAGTTTAAGTATGAAGACGCTTCAAACAGATTATAGCATACAAATCTATGGCATTAAGTCAAACGCAACCAATTTTGAGATTTGTACAAAGTACCAGATGAGTATGAGAATGACATAAAACCAAACCTAATTTCCAATAACACCAACAAATCTAAAAAGAAACTTGATAATAAACAATGACGTCACAGCATCAGCGTCAACCTTTTTCACCAAAAATAAAGGGGATGGTCTGGACAGTAATTACGCTCCAGAGCCACTGAGGCGGACATCTGGCTGGCATCATAACGACAGTGATGTTTACCGAGCCATATCTTACTATATAACAATAAAAAATATTAATGCGCCGCGTAAATGTGGCGCCCTAATCGCATTACGTCCTCCGGTCCCTAAGAACCCCGCGAGCGTTCACCGGTTATAATACTTATTCATTTTTATTTTGAGGGTTGCATGGATTAATCTTTTCTTTGTTTCGAATGTCTTTAAGATTTTGAATTCGAAAATGGAACGGTTCTAAAGGATTGGATTATGGTAATAAATTGGCATTATTTTTTTGCGTTTTATTTCTTTGCAATCAAAAACGTTATGTGCAATTGTTGAATTGACAATTGCGAGATTACTAATAATGTAATGTAACATTTAAATAGACTTCGTTACAGACCATATCCATGACTGACTCGTTGGCCGAGTGAAAGGGGTCTCGGGTTCGATTCCCGAGTCGGGCAAAGTATTACTGATATTTTCAAAAATTCTCCAGTATTCACACGGAGTCTGAAATTGTGCCCGGTATATAGCAATAGGCTATGACTCGTAACATAAAGGTGAAAAGTGGGTGTTACATTATACAGTGGCACTAATTGCCGTAATGTGCACCTCTGCCTACCCCTTCGTGGATTAAAGGCGTGATATTATGTTGTCACATCCATGACTTCTATTTATCTAACAGAAGTCCTTTCAAATCTAGAATACCGTAAACACCAATATGGCGACAACACAAGAATATTACCTCAATATTAACATGTAAGAAGTATACGACATATACATTCGACGCTTTATGTAAATAGTTGTTTTTGTTTTTTCTTATAATTAATTTTAATCTTTAGTTGTATATAGGTATTTAATTTAGTAATATTTAGTTTTAATTTTTTAGTTTTAATTTAGTAATATTTAGTTTTAATTTTTTTTTTAAGTAATAGTTAGTTTTTAATTTAAGTTTTTTATTTGAATAAATGAATATATTGTAAGAAGTTGGCAGTTGCCTAACATAAAGTTGAATCATTAGATTCTTAGTAATATCACACAATACTGACGCCTCCTTGCAACAATTTAACACACACGTGCTAATAGACACGACACAAAAGCTTTCGCGGTACCATTACAAAACTAAGACTTAATAAGATCTTAAAATATCCACGAACAACTAATTAGAATCTTTAGGTGTTACAACATATAATAAAAGTTATGATAAATGCATTGGCAACACCGTTTGATTGGAATGTTAGTAAATATTGACGGAAATCGAGATTGGAGTTGATCTTTTGTTAAACATTATGGATGCAACAGGAGAGATAAATATCAGTCTAAAGGCAATTTTCACCAACCTCTTAACTAAGAGTTTCTTAGTATGACGTAGCACAGTATAAGCAAACAGTTTTCAACTATCCCCTTTTTAACTATCTGTCAACTAAACCCTTGCTTATACGGTTAGGTGTTACTTATGGGCTAATAGAAATCAAAATGAGGTTGAATATCACCTATCTTATCTAATAGGTTCGTTAAAATTAAAAAAAAATCTATAAAATGATCATAGACAGCTTAAGAGGTCGGGAAGCCCTTTATCTTTAGACAATAAAAAAAAAACAAAATAAACAAAAATCATCAAGTTAAATGTAGCAAACAGTTTTTCTGTTACATTGAACCTTTTTTGATGGCAACATTAGTGTAAGCACAGGTATTTGCACCGTTATAGGGGAATAAAATAGATTTATGACGCATTAAAAATATAATAAGAGATTATGACGACAATTTCGAGAAACAAAGGTAAAACAGAGGTTATAAATGCAGGAAATAGACAATAATTGTGAAAGATTATTCGATATTTGAAAGCTTTTAACTGCTAAACAAAAAACCAACTTATCGAATCCCGAAAAAAAATTAAAAAGAAAAGATCTTGATCACTATAGAAATTAAGAAGCTATTAAAAATAAAACAACAATTTAACGTGTACCTTTCTTCCTTCCAGATGCGTGCGGTCTATCAGACGTGCCGCACATAGAAAGTCTACAAGAAAAGTCCCAGTGCGCCCTCGAGGAGTACTGCAGAAGTCAGTACCCCAACCAGCCCACGAGGTTCGGCAAACTCCTACTAAGACTACCTTCATTACGGACAGTCAGCTCACAAGTTATAGAACAGCTCTTCTTTGTGCGGTTAGTCGGGAAAACTCCCATAGAGACCCTGATCAGAGACATGCTGCTCTCCGGGAACTCATTCTCATGGCCGTACATGGCGACCATGTGACATACGATGTGGAGGCAGCTGGCAGCGGCATGATCCACGCCTTACGGCTTCCCGCCGTACCTGCCGAGCCAGCGGTTCGACCCTTTCCAAAGGTACCAGCGCGAAGCCCAGCCTGAGGACGCCGTGACCTCCTCAAGCGAATTCCACGAAACAGAAGCGAGCGAAGAGTACTTCGGGTCTAGAACCAGCAGGGAAAGCGAGAGAGCCGATCCCTCTTTCGATCCCATATCAGCTTTCTGCGCTCCGAAATCGAACGAGGAGTTCGAGACGACTTCGGAGACTCAAAAGAACGCGCAAAAATCCCTGATGATAGACAATCTGTTAAATATACGACAGGAGTGTACTATACCTGACATGAAGTAATGTTCAGTGGGGTCCGTAGTGTATTAGTTAAAGTTTTTGTTCCTCTGTAAAAATAGTTTACTATTTAATATTGTAAATAAAATGTTTTTATTATTGTAAATTGATAGTTAAGAGTTTTTCTACGATGATGAATGGATTTTTTATTTTATTATATTATATTCTTTTCTGATTCTTCTTTTTGTAGAAATTGTATAAAATCAATTTTGGATTGATAACGCAATAAGATGTGCATCGGTCGTGCAATGTCGGTGTGTAGTTGTATGTTAGAGGTAGAGGAAAGTTTTCAAGGATTAAGAAAACTTTTATACGACTAAATAGATGTGAAGAATCCTCATTTCCACAATGATTTTAAACTGGGAGTGGAAGGTGTGTTTATATTCATATCAGAAACAGCCAAATGTGTTCATCTAATACCTTATGGAACGCCTGGCAATGAGACTTCTTGTAAATAACCTTTTTACTGTTTTTTTTTAGTTTTTTCCGATTTTTTTGGTCTTTAGATGACATTTCCAGTTTAAAATCATGTTCAAAGAGTTTTTATCCACAAATATGATTGGACGAGGTTCTTTCTTTTTTTATTTTCCACTGGTGCTGTCATAACTCAAATATTTAAGTAAGATTTCGTAATTTTGTTATTTTATCGATTCCGTAAAGCATTTATAGGTGTGTATCGTTCCTTTAAAAAAATATAATCAAAAATATTCTTTTAAATTAAAAATATAAAAATTGTTTTTTTTTTGTTTCGTATGTTTAAACAATAGTGAGAAATACAAATTATGTAAACATAGTAACTATACATAAAATGGTTTTATTTATAACTCATAGCGCAACGATTTTTTTTATAAAAAAAAGTGTAATTGTTTTAATTTTTTTCTTTTGTCGTTTGAGTCAGTAACTTTTGAATTTGCAGAATAATTTTTAAATATGGAATTGAATCTGTAAGTATCAAAATTAAAATATTTGCTTGTAAAAAAACTATTTATAATAAACAACATTAAACTATTTTACAATTAAATAAAACGAAAAGCAATAACACGATGTTTTAAAAATAAGTAGCTTTTACAAACAAATGTTTCAATTTACACATTTATTTTACTGTTTTATTTACAAAAAAATTAAGTAAATTCTATAAACAAATAGTAAAAGAGAAACCATGTATTTATTCGCAATAAATGTACAGTGAATGTAAAATAGTGTCGGTGTGTGTATGAGAATGTATGGAGATGTATAAAAAATTAATATTAATAATGAGGAATAAAATATGTCTCTCTGGATCCTTTTTTTTATTAATTTATGTTTTAATTTCCCTTAGTTTTTAGAATTCATATCCAGAATAATGTAGTCAAGTCACTACACCATACCATTTTAGTCATACTGAGCCGCGGAGAGCGTAAAAGGTTACCGGGGCTCCGGCTCGAAGTGCAGGAGTAGGAACGGGATGGTTTTTAGCCAGGAGTTTGACACTCCCTCCCGCCTCTCTCACTCAGCCAATTGACGATTTTCCCGCTTTCAAAAAAATACCATATTTTCCAGTGATGTAATATTAAAATATAAAAAAGTTATTACGAGTTGTCGATTCGATGTTATGTTATTATTTTCCATCAGTTCCATAATTTTATTACATTAAGCAATATCAAAAAACTATATTTGCCAATTCAATCTAAACCCGGAAAGTATATTAAGAATATATCTATCACCTTTTACAAAATAAATAACCATTACACATAGTTTTTTTTTATGAGATAAGCCGGTAAACGAGCTGACGGATCGCCTGATGGTAAGCAATCGTCGTCGCCCATGGACACCTGAATCACCAGATACGGTGCAAGTGCGTTACCGGCCTTTCGAGAATTGGGAATTTGAGAATTGTTGGGGAGTTGGAGATTGGGGAGACTGGGTAGGAGAGTAATTGGGCCTCCGGTAACCTCACTCACACGACGAAACTCAACGCAAGCGTTGTTTCACGTCGGATTTCTGTGAGGCCGTGGTATCACTCCGGTCGAGCCGGCCGAAGCATGGCTCTCCTACTCTTCCCTTATACCTACAGAAACTACAGAAATTAAATATTTCAAAGCAGATAAGCAATCACAGATGTGTAGAACGACAAAATTAATCACTAACACAATCTAATCAAAATGAAAAATCATTAACAAAATACTAAATCACGAACATCAAAGTCAACCCTCCCCCATCGAAATCAAAAGTCAAAATCAAATCGCGTCGCACGGAAGCCAGAGTTTACACTAATCACCCAATTATAAGTAAACAGCAGTCTATCCGGTGTTGACATGTTAGAGGGACGATCAGTAAACCAATTTCGAACAAAAGTCGATTGTCGTAATAGTAAAAGTGTTATTTATTTGGTATCTGTAGAAGATGTGGCTCTAAGTTATAGATTTTTACAAAGAAATATAATTTCAATAGGCTCACCCCCTATTACATGGGACTTATAACATAAATAATGAAAAGTGGGTGTTACTTCTGTGTGCACCTCTGCCTACCCCTTCGGGGATAAAAGGCGTGATGTTATGTAAATATAATTTCAAAAACTTAATAAGTAGGTACGTTTTTTATTAATATTTGAACTATATTCTCTTTACATAGGCTACATACACCCCCAAAGATATGGTGGAAGATAAAGTGGGGGCATGACCTGCAAGAAAAAAAATAGGCTACATACATACATGCTTTACAGGCCTTTCATTGGTAATTCATGCGGCGAGTCAGGTGCGAGAATTTAAATTAAGATCACAAGGAGCCGCTGGATGGAGATCATTTTCCGATTCAGCCGTAGACCTGTACAAGTATATATGTGCGAGGTGGACGTCTTGTAGCTAACACGATGATGATGGTGAATTGATGATGAAAGCCCGGAGTAAAAGCTAGAAAGCTTCCTTAAGACTTTGACTGCCAATAAAAAACTGTTGAAGGTAAATCCTCCGCTAACGTTGGTCACCGGTGACCCCCATGGCGTTTAACGTGTTAACCCGTCGAGTGCCGAAACACAGATCCACGCGAGACTCGATGTATTTACTATTGTGTCTCATAAACATTCAAGGGGTTAAAAGACCGATATTCAATAAAAAAACTTGGATATCATTGAACCTTCTGTCCAATACCCACTTACTGACCCCGTGTGAAACTATAAGTGCGCGTGAGAGTGTCGGTGGTACGCGCAGCGCAGGTGGCCGGCGCAGGCGCACGCGATCCCTGGTTCTGTTTACGTGGGAAATGTACCTGTTGCAATTAGTGTCATTAATTTGTCGAGAGTGAAAATTAGGTCTCTGGTAGTGAGGTGAGGTGACATGTTTGAGATTAAGTAGTTAACTTGAGATGGGGATTTCTATATCTATGCGACGTTGTACCATCAGTTCTCGAATAGGATAGAGCATCACATATAATAAATGAAACAAACACCCATTATTCGATTGTTAGGTTAGGTTAGGTTACTTTGTTATCACGAAGCAAATTCAAAAAAGGGGGTCTCGTTGCTGCTTACCCAGGTGATTCTCCAAAAAAATAGCAAAAAAGTTAACTGCGTTATCATTCTAAATCCAAAGTTGACAATGCTGATGATTAAAACACACAAGAAATTGAGCCGTGTTCTTAACCAATTCAATAAGAATACAGGTGCTAATAAGTTACCGCGATGCTTAACAACGCGAGAGGATAATGATTTGTTAAACAAAAATTTTTCGGAGAAACACCCACCTACGACTGACAATTCTAAAATCAAAGTGACCTACAATCAGCAAGCTTACTTCCGAAAACGACTAGAGTCCGCTTCGTTTTTTATCCTACCTCGAACCGAACAGTAAATACTCTTGAACCAAATTGAATCGAAAACCAAGATCGTCTTAAGTTATATAGTATCCAGTGATATCAGTAGTCCGTCTTAGGAATCAAATTAGATTCGATAGTAGCGACATAATATTGCTTAATGTCACTCCACCATTAGAGAGCTCCGTTATGTTTTGATTAGGATACGATCTTCAAACCTTCAAGAAAATAGCGTATTCCTTTTTAAAAGGCCGGCAACGCACCATTGACTCCTCTGGTGTTGCGGGTGTCCATGGGCGGCGCTGATCGCTTACCATCAAGTGATTTGTCCGTAAAAAAATATAAAAAAGGGCTAATAAACAGTCACAACTCATAACTAAAACAGTTCAATTGTTTTATCATAAACTAGCTTCTGCCCGCGACTTCGTACGCGTAATCCCATTTTTTCCCGTTCGTGATTTTCGGTAAAAAGTAAAAAAAAAATTTGGTTAAAAAGTATCCTATGTCGGTCTCCTGGCTCTAAGCTACCTCCCTACCAATTTTCAGCCAAATCTATTCTGCCGTTGTTGAGTTATAAGTGGTGTAACTAACACGACTTTCTTTTATATATATAAACTAGCTGTTACCCGCGACTTCGTCCGCGTGAAATAACGACTTCTGTATAAATTGGGTTTTTTAAATTAGTCTTTGTCAAGGTATATTCTACAGCTGTACAACTGGAACAAATATCATCACAATCGATTCAGTACCTAGGTTATATTTATTGAGAAATGAATTTATTTTCGTGGTTTCTAAAATAAACAATCCCATAGAGGTTTTACCCGTACAGTGCCCGTCTCGTGAGGTTTCACTATTCTATGTTTGCAAATCAATGTTGTATCGCAACTATTATATACTATTACTTATATACTACTATATCGCAAATTTCAACCTCTAGTGATTTTAACAGCACAGTTCCCGGTTTCGTGGGTTTTTCGGGTTAAAAACTTTTAGATGTCCTTTCCCGGGTCTCAAACTATCGCTGTACCGAATTTCACCAAATAGGTTCAATGGTTTAAAAGGTAAGAGACCCTCTTTATTTCAACGTCCTTGGTCCTGGTTTTTTAGCGCATAGTTTCCGTCATTTTGGGATTTCCTCTCTCCTATAATGTGACCTGATATGTACCGGTGCGACGTGCGTTACTATCGCAAACATTTAAATGAAAAAATAGGTATTCTGA